GTTTGTTGCCGCTCCCTGGGGCAGCCTGTCTGCTTCACATGGAGGCCCTCTCCCCAGGTCCCACCTGCTGCAGGTGCGGTAATGGCTTTACGACAGCCTGGGCTGTCCTCCTCCTCACCCGCTCCCAGCAGTTACCCAGCAGAGCACCTTGGGGAGGGTGGGGCAGCCCACTTCCGGGGAGGGGGAGGGAGAAGGAAGTTGATCTAAACCCGCCTCTTTCTCTCTCTGTCTCCCTTCCTTCCCGTTCCCCTCCGGCCCCTTTCCTCCCACCTGGCTCCTGGGTGGTGTCCGAGGGCTGCCTGGGGTTCCTGGCCACCAGGCCCCGGCCTCCAAGAAGCCGCGGGGCTCTGTCCCCGTCCCTCTCCTTGCCAAGCCCGGGCTCTCTCTGCTAGTGGTGGTTTCGGTTGCGACACAGTCCAGGTTCCCAGAGCCGCTCGGCCTGGCTGCTGCGCTCTTTTTCATTGAGGAGGTGGTGGAAGGTGTCGCCTGCTTCAGCTGAGTAAGGGTGGCTGACGGCACCAGCAGCCTCCGCCCTGGGCCTGGCTCTTCCCGGCCTCTGTACTTTGCCCTCGCTGCCTGACAGGTTCTGCTCTGGGCTCTGCTGAATGGAAGTCGCTGGTAGTCCTTGTCCCTTTCTCCAGCCGGGTATGTTTCCCTCTGTTTTCTGGGGGTTTTTTTTGCTGTGGAATTGCCCCCTCCTCTCTCATCCCTCCCACCCCAAACACAGGGTCTTTGAGTAGTTGCTAAGTGGAGCCAGGCACTGACTAGCACAAGGCGTGCGCTTCCTGGGAAGAGGCACGGGCTCAGAAACGAGGGGCGAGTCGCCAGAGCAGTCTGCCCTTAGGTGGAGTCGGCACGCCTGGCCAGACTGAAGGGACCGAACGGGACAGGCCGAGGCCCCGGGCGGGGGCACGAGTGCCACAGTGAGGGGAGAGGGAGCGGGGGCGGCCCCCCAGGGCCAGTACCCAAGGACACCTCTCCTCCACTCCGCAGGGCCCAGGCGCACTCTGCCTCTGGCCTGGGAGTGCCTGTCACCCTTCCCAGCTTGGCCCCTTCCCGGCCCTGGGGACGCCTCGGGACACTCGAGGCCAGCCCTGAGTGCAAGGCCCCAGAGCGTGAGGTTTTCTCGGGAGGAACTGTTGGCCAGAGCCTCCAGCGTTAGGGAAGGGGCCCTGCCTACCTGAGTCAGCGCCGAGCCGCTCGGGGTGGAGGCTGTCTTCCGGGCGAACCTGGCAACACGCCTAAGCCAGGTTCTGAGATCCCAGGTTGACGGGCCCACTGGATAGAAGACTTTGTTTTTCTTCATCTTCATTCTTCTCGAATGAGGACCACAAAGCTGCTTAGGCCCGACTTCTCAGGCCTGCTAAGTATCGTGCGTGTTTTGCTATTTGGTTCCAAATCCTGCCTCCCAGGGTGACCCCTTGTTCATTCTGAAAGCTGCCTGAGGGCCATGGTGTCTACTTTCAACAGACTTCCTGAGACCTTTGGGGCCTGTCCATTCTGTAATGTTGGCCAGAGCTTGGAGGATGTAGTGTTCCATGTCTCTGTGGCCTAGGAGGGTGGAGGTGGGGGGCAGAGTGTGGTTCTGGCCAGATCCTGTTTAGTTGGCTCAGAAGGCCAGCCAGTCGTCAGCCTCCCACCTTGTTGATGAGCTCTGTGTCCAGGTTACATGGGCTAGTCAGAGCCGTGGAAGGGGCCCTGTCTCCATGGTCGTAGCTGCACCCCTGCCTCTGCTTCAGCCTTCAAAGAAGCCACCTGGGGCAGGGCCCTGGTCCAAGGAACATTTCCTACTGAGGACTTTCTCCTTTCTCTTCTTCCTTCCGTACCCTCTCTTCACTCTGTCCCTCATCCCTGCTGTGGGAACTGTGTCTCAACATGGAAGAGGCAGAAGGGGTGAGAGAAGGACTGTGTCCTTGGCATCCTGAGAGTTGGATGGTTTGGTCAGAAAGGGGAGTGTGTGACTTGTAGAGCGGGGGAATCAAAGAACACGCCCCAGCGTTTTCTGCTTCTTTGGGACCCAGATAGGCGGAACCTTCTCTTTGACTGTCCTGGAGACCTCGCTTGGAACTAACCCTTTGCAGCTGGCGAGCCCCCTCCTGTGAAGGCAAGGTGGCCGACGCCCAGCTGGGACCTCTCCCCAGCAGGGACATCTCCCCAGCGGGGGGACCCTACATCTCTTGGCCTCCATCTGAGCTGCAGCTGGATGAGGACTACTTGACTTAGATGTGAAAGTCTTGTTGACCATGAGACTTCTGGCTCTGCAGACAGGCTGTGTAGCATTTGAAGTGAAGCGAAAATCGCTCAATCGTGTCTGACTCTCTGTGACCCCATGGACCCTAGCCTTCCAGGCTCCTCTGTCCATGGAATTCTCCAGGCCAGAATACTGGAGTGCGTCACCCAGCTGTTCCCTTCTCCAGGGGATCTTTCCAACCCAGGAATTGAACCCAGGTCTCTCTCATTGCAGGCGGATTCTTTACCATCTGAGCCACCAGGAGAACCAAAAATAATGGTTATCGTGGTTGTTCTTTATTAAGCATTGGCTAGATGGTTGGATGGCATCACCGACTCGATGGACATGAGTTTGAGTAAACTCCAGGAGTTGGTGATGGACAGGGAGGCCTGGCGTGCTGCGATTCATGGGGTCACAAAGAGTCGGACACGATTGAGTGACTGAACTGAACTGAAGGCATTTTACATGCTGTCACCTAATGAATGTGAAATAGGACAGTTTCTTCGCTGCTTTACAGATAAGAAACTAATGCTAGTAAATAGGGGGAGCCTGGACTAGAACCTCGGTCTGCTGGACAGAGCTCCTTGGCAGCCACTAGACCATCTACTGGCACCCACACATGGGATCATCCCATGTTGGTCATCTTTTAGGATTTCTTCCTGCTTTGTAGTAATCTCATCTCCCTCGTAAGGACGTTGTTGATGATAGTAAAATTAACATGTGTTGAGTAAGAGGCAGATCTGGGACCTGAACCCTGGCAGTTTGTCTCTCCACCTGTACTCTATCACACCTCTCTGTTCCAGTATGGAGGACAGTTGTTGCTGTGCCTTGAAGATAGTGTGCAGCTGAGCCTGGGAGTGAGGAGTAGGGAGAGGGTGCTGGCCTGCTGTGCCGCGCAGAGCAGCCCCTGGGCTGAGGAACGTGGAGACAGAGGGGCGGAGCTCAGGATGGGCAGTCGGATGCCCAGAGTTAGCTTCAGGGAGTGAAGGACCCAGGCCCTCAGGGCGACACTGAATTCTCATTCCAGACTTTGAGGACTTGGCGACTGCCAGGCTCCTGCTGCCTTTGGCTCATATCCTCAGAAAATAGGGGAGTGACCAGAAACTTAGGAGGTGAATTAGAGGTTGCCAAGGAAACTTTTCCACCCATCTTCCTCTCTTGGAAGTGGGGGCAGAGGGAAGTTTTTCCTTGTTCGTGGCCCCTTAGGGCTGAAAAGCAGCTGGTTGGGGAAGCATGCTCCTTGTCAAGGAACCCTGGACAGTTCCTTGGGTGGTAGCAAGTCATTTCTTTGTGGTTTTTGAGGGTTTCACTGAGAGCCAGAAAGGACCGTGAAAGAAAGAATTTTGAGACACACTTCTCTGGTCCCACTGCTCCCTTCCAGATTGTATCCTTGAAGTTTCCAGAGCAGCTCTGGATGGTTCTGGGACGGGGCTCTGGCTGCCCTTGATCTGCATGATGCTGGAGCAGTGGCATCAGGTGCTCTGAAGAGGCAGATCAGGGTTCTTGACTAGCGTTAGACCCTTAATATTTTGATTGAGATGTAATTCACATCCCATACAATTCACCCTTTAAAGTGTACGCTAAAGGGGCTTTTAGTAAATTCATGGAGCTGTGTATCCATCACCACAGTCAGCATTTCATTAGAATTTTTTCATGACTGCAGAAAGAAACCTCAGCCCTTAGCTGTCATCCCTAAGGCCCCTCATCTTCCTCAGCCATAGGCCTGTCTCTTTTTTTGTCTTTGGATTTGCCTACTCCGGAGTAGGCGTTTCATATAAAGGGAGTGTACAGCCTGCAGTCCTTCGTGGCCAGTCTTGTTCACTTAGCATAACATTTTCAAGGTTCATCCGTGTTGTAACATATGTTGGTACTTCTTTTTCTTTGTTTAGTTGCCAATGAATATTCCACTGTGTGGATATTTCACAATTTGTGTATCCCTGTTTGGCGATTGCGAATGTGGGATGTTATGAACGTCCATGGGTGTTCAAGTTGTTCTTGGGCATGTAGCTAGGAGTGGATCACTTGGAACTCTACCTTTAGCCCTCTGAGGGCCATACAGGTCTTCACACAGAAGGATGTTTTCATCTGGACCATGCCTTTTTTGTGTTATGTTTATGTGCCTGTTGGTGCCAATTGTTGTCATTTCTGCTTCCTCACACCCTTATTTGAGTTAGGGGATATTGAAGGAGACCATCAGCAGACCATCATTCCATGTTTTCATTGCACAAGTGTTCATTGAGCATCTACCATAATCCAGTCTACGTAGGTGCTGGGTTGTATCAGTGAATAAATGATACGTGCCTGCCCTCATGAGCTTCCATTCTTACCAGATAGACAACAAATCAACATAAAGTCATACACAGTAAAGATAAATTTAAACTACTGGGTGATGAGTGCTTTGCAGTAATTCTGATCACGTTGCCCCTGCGACTCTTGAGTTCTGGCAACAGAGAGGGCAGTAGACGGCGCTCCCCACACGAGGAGGAGGAACTGTTGGGTTGTTCATGGGGGATGTATGGCCAGTGATGGGACGGCTCGTAGTAGGATGTTGACCATGGACCCAGGCTGTGCTCCTTTAGAGTGGAGCGGGGCTCGCTTTCCCTCTCCTCTTACTCCCCTGCCTTATGACTTTCTCTCTGCATGCCTCCCAGCCTCCTGGGATCTGCCCCCATACCCCAGCCTCTTACAATTTTTTGCAGAGAGCTAAGGGCCAGGGTATGGAGAACTGAAGGGTGGCACACTTCAAGGTGTGCATGTTTCTAACCGGCAGCCCCCCTTGGGACACCTCGACTCCAAGCCCAGCAGTAAGTCCAACATGCTGCGGGGCCGCAACTCAGCCACCTCTGCTGACGAGCAGCCTCATATCGGCAACTACCGGCTCCTCAAGACCATCGGCAAGGGTAACTTCGCCAAGGTGAAGCTGGCTCGGCATATCCTGACTGGGAAAGAGGTGAGCACTGGGCCTGGGGCCATGGCAGCATCTCCCACTGTTGATACCCCAGCAGTAGTGGTAGGACTACTCCCCAAGGCAGCCTTCTGTTTATCAGGCAGAAATGAGATCTGAAAAGAGAGGGATGCACAGAGGGATAGGGCCAGAAGAAGGTAGAAATATAAAGGAAGAAGCAGATTTGAATCCTGATCTTAGCCTGGTCAAAGATAATCTTGGGCTTTTTTGTCTCTTGTGCAGGTAGCTGTAAAGATCATTGACAAGACTCAGCTGAATTCCTCCAGCCTCCAGAAAGTAAGCTCACAGTACATCCTGTCCCTTTCTAACCTCTGTCAGGAGTCACTCATCTGCTGATCCCATTTGGACCTCCTCTTGAACCCCTGGGCTTCCCAGGTGGCACAGTGTAGGAAATGCTGGTTCAATCCCTGGGTCGGGAAGATCCCCTGGAGGAGGAAATGGTAACCCACTCTAGTATTCTTGCCTGGGAAATTCCATGACAGAGGAGCCTGGTAGGCTACAGTCTGTGGGATCCCAAAGAGTCAGGCATTATTGAACACACACACAGACACTTGAACGTCTAGTTCATATTCTCCGGTTACTTTGTTCCCACTATCCCTCTCCATGGCTCTGCTATCTGCAGGGTTTTGTTGGATCATGTGTGCTGACTTCTGCTTGGGCTTCCTGGCCTCAGACACTGGCTTGTTAGAAATCTTTCTGCCCTTTCCCAGCCCCTCGGCCTACCTGTCTGACCTACTTCCTGCATCTTGTTATTGTCTGGCTTGTGACCAACCTGTATGCGGAAACACATGTATACAGCCATTACTCGAAACACAAGCAGTTGCTTCAACATCGGGAATGATCCAGGGGAGTGGCTCCAGAGGTACAGGGGTAAGAGGAGGCAAAGAACCTGTCCCTGGATCCTGGGCCAGCTCCATTTCAGAGAATGGGAATGGAGGGCTGGGGTTTTTAGAAACTGAGCTCCAGTTTCAAGCCTCTGATAGTACATGCAGATTAAGGACAGGTACTCCCAGTTTTCCTTCTCACTTTTAGGCTCCTCCTGACTAACAGTTGCAAAGTCATTTGCATGTAGTCTTTGCAAGGTGAGGCTTTTGCTTCCCTTGACTTAAGTGGAAACTGAGGTCTTACTAACTGGTCAGGGAACCCTCCAGGTGGCACCACATACGTAGGAGCGAGGAAAGAAGGCTTTCATTTTCAGAGGAGGGACAGCTTACCAGTGACTGGTGGGTGTAGAGCTGGAAACAGCCCTCTCTGCCCGCCCTGGGCTCAGGCAGTTAGGGGAAGGAAGAAATCTCCCATTGGGCTCCCAGAAAGTGGCCTCTTTTCAGGTCCGTCAGATTTCCTCATTCTCTAGATGACCCTGGCTCAGATTTTCTGACCTTGACTGACCCGGATCTTTTCATCTCATGGCAGATTGAGCTTTCCTTTTCATGAGCATATTGAGTTACTTGGATTAGGAGAGGGTATAACCTCATGCTAACTGAGCCGACTACAGTGAGATTGGGAAGCTTGGGGCTCGGGGTTGGGAGTTGTTACTGAGAGAGACACTCAGAGAATCAGTGTGGGCTGAGGTGCCAAGGTGTTTCCTATTGTCTTTGTTACCCCTGGGATCCCCTCAAGGTTCTTTGAGTCAAAGGAAACGTGGCTGTCATCACCAGGGCTTCCCTGCTGGGAGCTTTCCGGAAGGAAGGGAAAGAGGGCTACTCTTGACACGTTGGCTTGGGCCCCACAGAGCAGAAGCCAGCTTGGTGTGGGCCATTTGGGCTTTGGAGTGTCTCAGCCTCCCAGCATCGGCTCGGCCGTCCTATTTCCCACCTGTCTCTCCTCCCTGCCTCTCCTCTCTGGCTGGGAGACACCAGCCCCAGACAAATGTCGCCTGTTAACACACTCCTTGGCCAAGGCCAGACTGATTCTGGCCAAATCACTCTGTTTAAATTTGATCCCAGCAGCAACCCCTGAACGACACACCTTGAAGAAGCTGGCCGCCTCAGGGCTCTAACCAAGCTCAGAAAAGTCCGCGCTCTCCTCGGAGGGCACTCTTTGCAGGCGCAGCGAGTGACCTCGGGAGGAACCCTGGCAGCTGCCTTCAGGCCCCGTTTCAGTGCTGCTCCCACTGCTGCCCTGAGGTGGCGTCCAGGACTTTTTGCCTCTTCATCCACTATATCTCCTGGGCTAGGGGAGAAAGCAAGGAAAAACCTGGGCTCTAACAGGAAAAGGGAGTGAAGGTCAGAATCAGGTTCTCAAGGGTTGGAAAACCTGTCTCCCATTTCCTTTCCAGCTCAGGAAAGCTCTGGGACTTCATTAAAGGAAAAAAAAGATAGGTTCACTTTCTCCCCATAAAATATAGCCTGAATTAGGTCTCCATACCTCCCCTCAAAAAAAAAAAAAAAAAAAATCACAACACAGCTAGTTCTGCTCTTTGTGCAAGTGGGAAGGCTTAGAAGTTACCAAAACCCCACCCCCAATTTTCTGGCCCCCGCAGAGGGGATGGGGTTCATTTCTGTCATTTTTCTTTATGGAAATGTATGGTTTGGAGTCCCTGATTTTGTTTCACAAAGAGAGCGTGAGTGTGTGTAGGTGGATTTGATTAAAATTGGCATCAGCTATATATAGGAGTGGCTTCTTCTGTCACCACCCCGAGGCCCAGGAGAAAGAGGCGCACCCACAAGTGCAGAGCCCTCTGACTTCTGTAAGTCAGAAGATGGTGGGGTCCCCCTTCTGAGCTCCCTGCCCCTTCACACAGACCACGCTGGAGTTTGCTTTGTCTGTGAACCGTGGAAGCAGCTCAGGTTCTAAATATTCATGTCCATGGGCTCACGCTCCCTCCTTGGGAGGCACCCAGCCAAAACCGTCTGCTGTGGGGGGGCTGGATCTGAGTAGACAGCCCCTGAGGTGCAGGTCGGGAGATCCCCGCTGGCCTCGCGCTGACCCTTCTTGCTCCCCTCCTCCCCCTCGGGTCCTTCTCAGCCCTTGCGGACGGGCAGGGAGGATCTGGACTACCACACTGTTTCTGCACCCTACCTGTTTGCTCTTTTGGAAAAGCATCCTAGCAATGGATCTGTTTGGAGGGGACCTGAGGGGAGCAAGCTGAGCAGGCATGACCCCTGCTGCTATTTTATTTTCCAGCTCTTCCGTGAAGTAAGAATAATGAAAGTTCTGAACCATCCCAACATAGGTGAGGACTGTCGTCGTTCCTCTCCCTCCCCCACCGCGTGACTCCAATCCCACACATAGTCCTCCTCCCTGAGGTGCAGTACCGTCCGGAGTCTTCAAGGATGCGTCTGGGGAGGCCCAGCTCAGTCCGGCTCTGCCCGTGGTGCTCAGGGCTGTTCTTAGCGGTGTGGCTGCCACGAGGGGAGCTTGTCCTCGGGAGAGCAGGAATGGGAGGGGAGGAAACGTTTGTTCTGAGGATGCCCCTGTGCATGTCGGGGCTTGACATGTGGCCCCCTGCAGCTGCTCTGACTCAGAGCTTGGCCTTTTCTCTTGCAGTTAAGTTATTTGAAGTGATCGAGACTGAGAAAACGCTCTACCTGGTCATGGAGTACGCCAGTGGAGGTAGGTATGGAATTGCCTCTTCCTCCTGTGTCCCTGCCTTCCCCAGCCCCAGCCAGCTCTGATGTAGACCCCACTCCTGTCACTTGCAGGAGAGGTGTTTGATTACCTAGTGGCTCATGGCAGGATGAAAGAAAAAGAGGCTCGAGCCAAATTCCGCCAGGTGGGTGTGACTCCCTCCCTGGACTGTGGGCCCAACCTCTGCTCTGGGGGGTCGGCATACAGGGAGTAGCTGCCCATCTTTCAGCAGCCTCGGAGGGTCCTTTGGGCTTTGCTTATCCATGTGGGAGATTGGAAGTCGGTCACAAGATTGCAGCTCCACCAGCCCATGTGGCCCACCTTCAGGTGCCTCCGAGCTGACCCCTCTTCCTTCCTTTCAGATAGTGTCTGCTGTGCAGTACTGTCACCAGAAGTTTATTGTTCATAGAGACCTAAAGGTAAGGCATGCTCTCGTCTCCGTGTCTTTGAGTCAGGGCTGGCTCGTTCACCTCTGTGAACAGTGACAGAACCATGACACCCTGATGTTCAGGGAAGCTCTAGCCTGTAATTTTTTTGGAGATGATGAGGAAGCCCCTAGGGCTGCTTCTGACACAGGCCTGTGTGACTGGACTTAGGCTCCCGTTCCCACCAGTGAGCGGAGAGTCTCTGCCATTTCACCTCTTCCAGTGCTGCCAGGCCTGGAAGCCAGTGAGGAAACAGGGTTGACTGTCCCACAGCTGCATCACAGCTGCTTTGCAGATGTGAACACTCCCATCTCTGTCCCTCAGATGTTAGTGTGTGAGACTACCTCTGGGTCTTCCCGGCCTCTGAGTCCTCGAAGATGACCATGATTAACGCAGGCCTGACAGGGAAGCTTTCCATAGCTCACAGCCCTCAGCCTTCAGATCCTAGCCCTCCCACAGCTCCCTGTGTGAGGAGCAGCCTTTGCTACCCTCCTCCAACCCAGCGCGACCTCTTCACACAGATTGGAGATTGGAGGCTGCCTCCAATCTGTACTTGGAGTACTAAGATTGAAGATGACTCCTGTTTATTCTCTGCCCCTTCCTGTCCGGTGCCTTGGTGTGGTCCACTTGGTTCCCTGACATTTTCCTTCTTACCTTCCAGGCAGAAAACCTGCTCTTGGATGCTGATATGAACATCAAGATTGCAGACTTTGGCTTCAGCAATGAATTCACCTTTGGGAACAAGCTGGATACCTTCTGTGGCAGTCCTCCTTATGCTGCCCCGGAGCTCTTCCAGGGCAAAAAGTATGATGGACCTGAGGTGGATGTGTGGAGCCTGGGAGTTATCCTATACACACTGGTCAGCGGATCCCTGCCTTTTGATGGACAGAACCTCAAGGTGGAGTGAAGTGCAGGCTTAGATCATTTGAATTCTCATTTCTTCTCTTGGCCTCTGGTCTTGTCCCTGACCTCTCACCTTCACTGCTTTTCTACATTTTTCCTGAGCCAGAGCTTCAGAGGGCTTACAAAAGGTAGCAGCTATTAAAAGGCATTATGTACCCAGTGTAATAATCTCAGTTCTTCTCTTGAGGGCGGGGATAAATTGTATGTTTGTTAACCTCTTCAGGGCACTCAGGATTGCAAGCCTCAGGCTCCTGAAGCCCAAGGGCGTGGGGTATCTGACAGCACCGCCTCTCTAATGAGGGACCTTGTCCCAGGCCCTCTGCCTTCTACCATATTTCATTTCTATCTGACTGGACAGTCAAACTATCAGGAGCCTGGATATTAGGTTTCTTAAACCCTTGGCCTTGGGTGATTTAAATTTCCCTCCTACAGGAGCTGCGGGAGCGGGTACTGAGGGGGAAATACCGTATTCCGTTCTACATGTCCACAGACTGTGAAAACCTGCTCAAGAAATTTCTCATTCTCAATCCCAGCAAGAGAGGCACTTTAGAGGTGAGCAGCCTGAGACCGTCTGGCCAGGTCCTGGGTCCCAAGGAAACCTCCAGGCTGAGTTCTCCCTCTCTGCCCTTCTCCTTCCCTTTGCTCCCCAGCAAATCATGAAAGATCGGTGGATGAATGTGGGTCACGAAGATGATGAATTAAAGCCTTATGTGGAGCCACTCCCTGACTACAAGGACCCCCGGCGGACAGGTGAGGCTGTGCTGGGCAGTGAGGTTGAGCCTGCCTGGGACTCAGGACCTGCCTTAATTGTGTGCCCTCCCGTGCAGAGTTGATGGTGTCCATGGGTTACACGCGGGAAGAGATCCAGGACTCACTGGTGGGCCAGAGGTACAACGAGGTGATGGCCACCTATCTGCTCCTGGGCTACAAGAGCTCCGAGGTGTGTGCCCCGCTCCGTTCCCTTGTGCGGTCCTCTGTCAGCAGCAGCCCCGCTTCTAGCAGCTGTTGAGGGCAGACCTCATCTCCTGTGCTCTCTACTGGCTGATTTTAAGCCCCACCTCTGGGGGCGCTAAGGCCCCTCTGGCCTTTGCTTTCTCTGATGGCCATCAGTGGTTCCACAGGAAAGCTGATGGGGTCGGGCCTGGGTCTGGGTTGCCATACGGTGAGTATATCTAGTTCACTCTGTGTTGGTTAGACAGGGTCTCAGTCCATCTGGGTCAGTTCTTTGTTGCCTCTAGACGTCTGTTTCCATATGTTTTATGTCTCTCTGTATCAGGAATTGATATAGGAATTGATATCAGGAGTTGTGTCTCTCTGTATCAGGATTCCTGGGTGCTTTGTGTCTTATAGGAGCCTTGAGTCTGTGTTGCTTCTGCTTAGTGCTCATCTGGGTGCCTGTACGTCCATCCATCGTGTCTGTCCATCTGGAGGCCTCGTGATTGTTGCTCTGCTTGTCTGGGTCACCATGTCTGCACCTGAACCCACGGGTCTCTGTGGGAGTCAGGTCCTGCTTACCATCTGTGTGTCCCCCTTGCACGTGTGGCCTCCCTGCCCCCCTGGTGGTGTCAGACTCCTTTTCTTGATTCTTAGCCTGCTCAGGAGGTATTGGGGGATGTCTCTGAGTCTGAATGCTCATTTTTGCGTGCTCACGTGCACGCATGTGTGTATCCGTGTCCTTCTCTGAGAGCGGGGGTCTTTATGGGGAGGTTGGTGTGTCTTTGGCTCTTTGTCAGGGTCTGCGTTGCTACTCGTCTTTCTCTGTGTTTATCTAAATGTACTTTGGTCTTGCAGGGGGCATGTCTCACGGGAGCCCAGGTGGATTTGTGTCAGGCAGGAATGTGGCATGGAGGTGGGATCATCCACAAGCAGCTCTTCATCCCTCCCTCTTGTGCTCTTGCAGCTGGAGGGCGACAGCATCACCTTGAAGCCCCGGCCTTCAGCTGATTTGACCAATAGCAGTGCCCCTTCCCCCTCCCACAAGGTACAGCGCAGCGTCTCCGCCAACCCCAAGCAGCGGCGCTTCAGCGACCAGGGTGAGTGCTTCCGAGAGTGGCAGGTGTGGGGCTCACCCCTCTCCTGATGGGTTCTGGGCGCCTCAGACCCTCTTAAGCCTTATTAGCATGTCCTTGGGCAGCTCACTGTACTTCCCTCCAACTCTGTGAAACGGGGTTTCTGGCAGCGCGGTAGGAAGCATGAAGCACGTGGTGGGTGTTCAGCGTGCTGCTCTCACCCTTACCGTTTCCACCGTCCCTCTGGCCCAGCAGCTGGCCCTGCCATCCCTACTTCCAATTCCTACTCTAAGAAGACTCAGAGCAACAACGCAGAAAACAAGCGGCCTGAGGAGGACCGGGAGTCAGGACGGAAGGCCAGCAGCACAGCCAAAGTGCCTGCCAGCCCCCTGCCCGGCCTGGAGAGGAAGAAGACCACCCCCACGCCCTCCACGGTGAGCCACGCCCCCTCCCCCCTCCTGGCCAGCCCCACCCTCTTTCCCCGGCCCCCACCCCGCTTCTTGCTCTGGGGCCTGTCCTCTCGAGGCAGCTCCTTCCTTAAGCAGGCCCAGCTCCCTTTGGCTGCCTGCCTGACCTTCCCTCCTGGCCCACTTGTGCTTACTGTAGAAAACCTTGCCCCCCAGAGTCAAAGCAACATCTTTTCTCCCCTCCAACCCCCATCCCCCTCCCACTGCTTATGGTAGAAAGGGGAGGAGGGAGCCGGTTTTGTGACCACTTTGGTTGTCTATGATACAGCTCTTCCCCTCTTCTCCACAGAACAGCGTCCTCTCCACCAGCACAAACCGAAGCAGGAATTCCCCACTCCTGGAGAGGGCCAGCCTCGGCCAGGCCTCCATCCAGAATGGCAAAGACAGGTGAGAGGCCTGGGCCCTGCCTGCCGCGCCCCCCAGAGCCGCTCCCCCAGCGGTGACGTCTGTCAGCAGCACCCCTCCCCTCCCGCTCCCTGGAGTCCCGTCCTGGCTCTGTCCAGTCCAGCCGTCCACACGCCAGCACCTCCCTGCTCTCCCGCTGTCCTCCCTGTGCTCCGTGACTGCTTCTGGCGGGGTACCCATTGTGACTCCATGAGCATCTCAGCCGCCTTCTTGCTTCTTGACCACAGCCAGGGCATGGCACCTGTGTTGTGCTGGGCATCAGTGCCCCAGGGACCCCGGCTCAAGGCAGAACCCAGAGATGCCCATCTGAAGGGTGTGCACATTGAGGGTGACTCCAGCTGTGCCTGTGAGAGCAGAACCCCCCAGCCTTGCTGTCGGTGTTGAGTTCCTGGCTCCTTGTCTTCTGCGCTTAATGAAAACTCCCCTTGGCAGCACCCTGCTCTTTCTGGCGACAGTACATCCTTGTTCTTAGAATTCCTAGGAGACCGGTGGAGCCCGGGGGCAGTGGCCTCCTGTCAGCCTTCCCGCACTCTGGGTTTCCTTCCCCAGGCTCTGGCCCGCTCGCCCTCCTCGCCCTGCCCTCCACTCCCCAGCCTTGCCTCCCTGGGCTCTGACTTGTGCCCTGTTGCTGCTTCTGGGCGTGACCTGCATCCTGCCGAGGCTCCCCTCTGGCCCTTCCCGCCCTGCCCTTGCTTCCTAACCAAGCCTTCTGCCCCCACCCACCCCTAACCCAAGGCCTCTCCGCTGCTTTTGTCTCCTAGCCTAACCATGCCAGGGTCCCGGGCCTCCACGGCTTCTGCTTCCGCCGCAGTCTCTGCGGCCCGGCCCCGCCAGCACCAGAAATCCATGTCGGCCTCCGTGCACCCCAACAAAGCCACTGGGCTGCCCCCCACGGACAGTAACTGTGAGGTGCCGCGGCCCAGGCAAGTGTGCTGGGGCAGCTGATGCACCGCTGCCCTCAGCCTGCCCCTCCTCCACCCCCCACAATTTCTTCCCACCTGGGGGTCCTGCTTTGTTCTTGTCATCTTAGCCACAAGAGACAGCTATCTTCTGCAGCCAGGAAGTAGAGGGAAGCAAAAGTGGCTTACTGCCCCTCTTCTCCTCCAGTTCTCCCTCTCAGAACAGACATGCACGAAGCCACCCCAAGGCTCCAGAAGGAAGCCTTTTTGTTCTGAACCTTTGTGGACTTCCTTAGGACCCAGGGACAGTCAGCATCACAGGGACTCAGTCCTTGAGGGCTGGTCAACATTGTCCCCTGGAGGTTCCAGTCTGCCTCGCTCCCAGGGAGCCACTCCTCTGCAGCCTGCACTGCTCTCCACACACGGATCCTTCCCTGCCTCCCTCCCTCCCCGAAGCCGTCTCCTCTCCCCCCACCTTACTGGTGTCCTCAGTGGTCACATCCCTTCCTTCTGTGTCCGCTGTGATGGCTGCCTCCCTCTGCCCTGGCTTCCCCCTCCCCTTTTCCCACCCCAAGGCGCTCCAGCCGCTGGCGGGGGCCGTCTTCTTGTGCCCTGATGCATTTCCCCCACCCCCACCTCTTTTCCCACAGCACAGCCCCCCAGCGTGTCCCTGTCGCCTCCCCCTCCGCCCACAACATCAGCAGCAGTGGTGGAGCCCCAGACCGAACTAATTTCCCCCGGGGTGTGTCCAGTCGAAGCACCTTCCACGCTGGACAGCTCCGGCAGGTGCGGGACCAGCAGAATTTGCCCTACGGTGTCACCCCAGCCTCTCCCTCTGGCAACAGCCAGGGCCGGCGGGGGGCCTCGGGGAGCATCTTCAGCAAATTCACCTCCAAGTTTGTACGCAGGTGAGTAGGGGGCCTAGGGCAGCAGAGAGACTGAGGTCAGGCCCTGCACCTGCCTGGAGGAGGGGATGAGAACACCTGGGGTTAGAGCTGGGGTTAGGTCCCTAGGGGGTTAGAAGCAGCCTCAGGAAGCCTGAGAGAGTGAGTCTTGTTGGCACCTGAGGCGCTCAGACCTGTCCATCCCTCTCAGGCCTCCCCAGCTTCTCATACACACCCCTTGTTCTCTGGCCCAAGCAGATGGCCGATGCCGCCTCCTCTCTAGGAGAGTGTGAACTCAGATGCTAAAATAAAAGCCCCCCTCTTCTCTCCTGGGTTCCCATGGAAACTTATATTTGGTGACGCAGCTGCAAAGTCATGAGGCCTGAGCCAGGCTGGGCCGGCAAGGAGAGTTTCTCCTGGTCTCTTGTCTCGCCCCGTTTGACCTCCTTGCTCCCCACCCAGTTGGTTTTGTCTGTCGCAGTCATATTTGTCTGCTGGGCTGGAGGCGGGGGGAGGCGGGGTGGTGTGCCAGGATGGAGGCCACAAATTAAGTAACTGCTGGGGGCCTAGGGTGGCTCCCATGCAGCCTGCTGCACTCTGACGCTTCCCGGTGTGGGAGCCAGGGTGGAGATCCTCTTCATGAGGTTTCTCACTCCTGGCCCCTGATGACCCATAGATACAGCGCTCCTCCTTGAGGTGCATCCAGCAGTCCCGCCTCGTGGGGTGCTCCCTGTCTCCATCCCCCTGCTTCCTCAGCCATCTTAGCATAGCTCAGGATACAGCAAGCAGGAGGCTGGAGAGAGTGGATTTGCCTGCCCTTCCTCCTGTCCTCTTCCTCACTCAGCTAGCGAAGCCAGGCTGGGCCCCTTTCCACCTCGGGATACAGCTGTGGGGCTGCAGGGTGGGGCGTGAGCAGATGGGGGTGTCTGGGACTCTAGTCTCGCTGAGCGGCTCTTCCGAAAGTGGGGGTGACCCTTGAACCTATAAAGCCCACTCCCCACCTGCTTATCCACATACCGTCTTGTTGGTTTTTTTTTTATTTCTTTTTTTATTTTGTCTTTTTTTGTTTGTTTTTTTAGAAATCTGTCTTTCAGGTTTGCCAGAAGGTAGGCGTTGAGCCCGCTGTGTGTGTGTGTCTGTGTCCCGTGTCCTGCCTCCATCACTAACGCCCCTCTGTGGCTCTTGCGCCCTCCTCCATCCGCTAACCATGTCCGTGTGGCACTCTCTCTGCCATCTTAAAGGGAAGGCGACGGCCTCTGACAGGGTGGCCCACGAGGCCACGTTTGCCCACTGAGGGCAGGTGGCTCTGAAAACGATGGGCCCGTCCCCCAGCAAGGGGGACCTTTTCAGGGAATTCTCCCTTTAAGATTGTCTCCTTCCCCCGGTCCCCTGCCCCGGGTTTTGGTCACAAACGTGGTGGGCTCCTCTTCCCGCCGTTTCCCATGTCTGTGCATGCGCTCTGAAGAAGCTCCACCCGGGTCAGAAGTGTGTCTGGGATGGTGTCTCACTCTGGGTCTCCTGGGCCTCCTCTTCCCTGGTACCCTGAACCGCAGGTCCTCTGGGATGGCAGGACTTCAGGGGCCCTGCAGGGACACTGGGGTGTCCAGGCTGGTGCCTGACGCCTCAGGCGCGAGGAGCCTTTGCCTCTCGAGTGGGGCACAGCACCCCCTTCTGGCAGCTCCGTGGAACAAGCCCACCCCTCCCCCACCCCAGCAGGCCTCGGGCCTCCAGCCTTTTCTGGGCCGCATCCTCTCTGGCTGTGTTCTCCAGTTATGGCCTGTGGCTTCCCGAGAGCCAGGAGCTGGGACATCCTGCCCCTGTTCCCTGGCAGCAGGGGAAGATCCTCCCGCACTCAGGCGGCTGCCTTCCTGGGCCCACTCCTGGCTCTGTCGCCCCCAGCCCTGCCTTCATCCTGTCTGGAGGCCTGGGTGGGCCGCATACAAAGCTGAGGAGCAGGTTGGAGCCCTGGTTCCCCAAGGCCGGCCGCCCAGGCCCTGCCCTGGGGCGGGGACACCTGACAGGCAGCCGGTGCCCGGCTGACAGACGGCTGAGACAGGGTCTCCAGGCTTTCCCCTTCCGCCCACCGCTCCCCAGCTCTTCAGTGCATGGCTGGCTGTTGACTCATGGGGCCCCAGTGGGGGCCTGCTCTGCAGGGTGCCTCCACCCACAGGCAGAAGCCAGGTGGGGCCCAAGAGAGCAGCCAGGCTCCTTCCCCTGCTCAGCGCAGGCGCCTGCTCGCAGCGCGCTGGTTTGCGTTCGTGTGTCTGTCGTCTCTTTGTGTTCCTTTTACATGTGCTGCTGCTGCTCTTTCTCTCCTCCGTCCTTGCTCTCCTCTGCACCCCCAGTTCCCCGGCTCCAGGCACCCATCTTCCAGCCAGGAGCTGGAGAAGCCGCTCAGCGGGGCCAGACCTCTTCCCCACCCACCCTCCCAAGGTGTCTGCCCTGCCCTGCCCTGCCCTCCGTCTCCCTTCTGTATCAGCAGATGGCCTGGCAGGCAGGGGAGTTATAAAAGAAAGAGGGAGGCAGGCCTGTCTCCAGCAGGCCTTAGGGCCCTTCTCCCCCCACCATCCAGCCCCAGGCACTGAGCCCCAGGCACACTCCCAGCAGGTCTTAGCCCTTTGAGCCTCCGGAGAGATGCCTCTATTTATCCCCTTGCCCCTTCCCTCTAAGAGGACCACAGTTCTGAGACCCAGTCCTGGGGCCCGAGGGCAGGAACCCCTCCCCAGAGCCCTGGCTGTGGGCTGTGTGCTCCATGAGCACATGCACGTCCACACCCTCCTCCCCGGCTCCTCCTCGCTGGCAGGAGGGGCAGTCCTCCCCACCGTGCTGGGCTCCCTGTTGGAGAGGGACAGTCACGCAGCCAGCATGAGGGGCTGCGAGCCACCGAGCCTCACGGCCTGCCAGTGATGGGCAAGTGGCCTTCTGGGCTTGGGTCCCGCCCACCCACCGGTGGCACCTCCCCGGACCCGCCCTCACAGAGGTCCCAGCACTAAACTCTCCCTCGCTCTGTTTTTTGAGGAACCTGAATGAACCTGAAAGCAAAGACCGAGTGGAGACGCTCAGGTGAGAGGGCTGGAGCCGGCGCCGGCCCTGCGCGGGCCACCGGGCTCGCCACGAGCCTCCTGCTCCTCTCTTCCTTCTGCCACACGGCTCTCCTCCCGTGCTTCTGCCCTGTCCCCACCCTCGTGGGGCCTCCCTCTCCTCAGAGCACCCCTCACCCCCACCGCAGCAGGTGTGGGCCCTTCTCCTGAGATTGGGTAGATTCTGGAAGCAGGAGCCCCAGGCCGGGTGGTTGGGGCTACAGACTCCCACCCCCGGACAAGCTTAGCTCTCGTGAAGCAGCCGCTTCTCTCTGTCCAGTCTGTGAACTGCTCGGGGCTACTGTGCAGTGCTCCCCGTTCTTCCCTGGCCCTCTCCTCTTCGAAGGAAAGCATGGAGCTGTCACCTCATCATCCCTGGCTAGGGGCTGGCTTCTCCTCCCCGCTCTGCCCTGAGAGACGGGGGTGCAGGACTGCCCACCCTCCTCGCCCCGCTCTGCTCCCCTGGCCAGCTCTAACGCTCCCTCTTCCAGCACCACTGCCTCCGGGGCACCCTCCCGCTGTCCTCTCTGGTCTCAGGGTCCATCTGCCAGGGGGGCGCTCCCGTGGGTGGGACACCACAGCCCCCGCCTGACGCCCGCCTCTGCCCTCTCCGCAGACCTCACGTGGTGGGCGGCGGCAGCAATGACAAAGAGAAGGAAGAGTTTCGGGAGGCCAAGCCCCGCTCGCTGCGCTTCACGTGGAGCATGAAGACCACGAGCTCCATGGAGCCCAACGAGATGATGCGGGAGATCCGCAAGGTGCTGGACGCCAACAGCTGCCAGAGCGAGCTGCACGAGAAGTACATGCTGCTCTGCATGCACGGCACGCCCGGCCACGAGAGCTTCGTGCAGTGGGAGATGGAGGTGTGCAAGCTGCCGCGGCTGTCTCTCAACGGCGTTCGCTTTAAGCGGATATCGGGCACCTCCATGGCCTTCAAAAACATTGCCTCCAAAATAGCCAACGAGCTGAAGCTTTAATAGGCTGCCAGGAGTGGTGGGCGTGGAGGCGGCCAGCTGGACTTAGCTGCTGGGGCCGGCGCTCCGCCCGCCTGGGCCAGACTGCAGAGATGGATCGGTGTGTCTCCCCTGCTGGCACTTCCCTCCCCAGCCTTCTCAGTTTTTTCTTCCATGTTTGTGGGGATGGGAGATGGTTCTCTCCCCCTCCCACAGTTACCCCTGCCCAGATAGCCCCCCTTCCCCCTCTCTCCCACAGGAGGCAAAGGAAGGGGGGAGGGGTGGGGGGGGCAGGGCTCCCCCTCGGTACTGCGGTTGCACAGAGTATTTCGCCTAAACCAAGAAATTTTTTATTACCAAAAAGAAAAAAGAAAAAAAAAATTTCCCAGCGGCCACCTTTCCTCCCTGCCCCATTGGGACAGTCGAGACTGGATCTGTGGGGTTTCCCGGGAGGGTGGCTCAGGGCTGGAACACTCTCAGGCAAGAGTGGTGGAGTTCCCTGTCAGGCCCTCCGCCAGGCCCACTTTGGGCTTCTCCCCTCTCCTCTCCTCCTTCCCCTCCAAGCAAACCACCAGAGGTGGCCTTCCCCTGACCTCAGGCCCCTGGGCTGGAGGCCTGGGCGGCTGGGGGCTGGGGCAGGGGTGCTGGCGGCGGCCTGGGGCTGGCAGGCTAGGCGCGGGGCTCGGCCTCCCTCCACACTGTATCCTCTGCCCCTCCTTCCCCAGAGGCTGGGCATTTCCTTCCACAAGCTGCTGTGGGGACGTTCGTTCCCCTCCTCAAAAAGTCTGTGCCATCTTCTCCCACCCCCTCCTGGGTAGAAGGCGGGGCTGACCCCAGGGCTGGGAGAGGGGAGGGGACTGCAGGGCAGAGGGGCTCCCCGGCCCCCGGGGGCCGCCCGGGCTGCTAGTCTCCGGAATAGGGACGATGGCATCCTCCTTTCTGGGAGAGCCTTTGTCTGAAAGCACAGCCCCTTCGCCAGTCCTCTCCCCGCTGCTCCTCTTCATTGGCATTAATCTGGGCACCAGCTAGTTCCATAGCAGTGACTTCCCTCACCACTCATCTCTCGGCCTTGCCTTCTCTTCCTCACTGTCGCCCCTCCTCTCAGGAGACACTGCCCGGGGCCTCCAGGGCCGCCTGGCCGAGGCTGCGGAGGGCAGCGGGGCCCGGAGCCTCTCCCCTCCACGGGGCTGGGGGGCAGATAGGCCAAGGGCCTCCCAGCTTGCCGACCTCCACAGCCAGTGTGGGAGTGGCTGGTTATGGGCGCTTGGCTGGTGGCAGCCGCTGCATCCCTTAATTTATTTCTCTGCTGTTTCTGTTCTTGAGAAATTGGGGGAGGGGGTCCTAAACAGGCTGCCTCTACCCTCACCTGAGTTGTACATTTTTTTGTGATGGGTTTTATTTTTTATTTTATTATTTTATTTCTTTTTTTTGATTTATGATGACTCCACCCCTACTCATCACCCCACTCCCAGGCCTGGCTCCATGGCGTGTCAAGCCCTTGGGTCCCAGGAAGGGGCCTTGCCAACCTCAGCCCTCCCGCCCCAAGCCCTGACTGTGGGCTCCGGCTCCTACCAAGGGCTCCCCCTCCCTCCCCCCTCCTCCTTCCTGCCCTATGGAACAGCCCGGGTGCTCCCAGGGGCCCGGAGGGCAAGGCTTGGCTCCCAAAGGGGGTGGTGGCCGGGGGGCTCCCAGGCGAGGTGGCCCCTCCCCACCCAGCCCCCTCCTGCACTTAGTCTCTCCTCTGGATCAAACACGTAATAAAGAGAATGTTTGGAATCTGAGCTGCCGCCTCCTGTTTCTTATCCCAGCTGGGCAGGGACCCAGGCCCCATGGGCAAGATACAGACCAACCCACCTGCCTTGCTGGGGAGAACGGATTTCTGTCTGGGGCCTGGGGAAAGGACAGTGCTGGGTGGCCCCGTGGCCCTGACAGAGACACTCAGCCTGGGACCCTTAAACCAAAAGAAGATTCAGTGAGCTTGAAGGTTTTATTTTTAAAAAAACATTGAAAAATAAACCCATGTCTGCATATGTTCCCAACCCTCCTTTCTCTAGGTTCGTGGGCGGGGGCGGGGGGGGCACCCTCAGAGCTCCTCAGCACTCCCCACCTGGCCCCTGAAGACTGGAGAGCTACCTCTCTGGCCCCAAGGGACCTCTCTGCCTATCTCCCCCCTCCAGCGCCCTCCCCACCTCACCCAAACTTATTGCTACAAGAAGGGAAAGAGGAAGAACAGCCAACACATTAAACTGTCCTCACCCCCAGCCCCCACACTATGGTCACTACCCCCTACACATGAAGGGCAGGACCAAAGGCCAAGCCCTGGCAGCCTAGGAGGCAGCCGTTCCAGTCCCAGCCAGGAAAAGAAAGTACCCTCAGGCCAGCTCACAAAGCCCCAGACCCTGGCCGGGCTTGGCCACCAGAACCCACAGGGCCAGCTGTGCCTGTCGCAGCAGCTCCGGGTCCTTGAAAGACCTGGCGTGAGCTCTAGTCCCTTCTGTCCTTGGTGAAGCCGGAGGTCCCCAAGGACGCCCTGCCGAGGGGTTCTGGAGCCTCTGGTTGGCGGAGAGCCTCGGGGCTCAGAGCGAGGGTGCTGGAGGCTCCAGAGGGGCTCCAATCAGGGTGGGTGGGGGCTGAGGGCCAGGGCGGACACTGTGGCGGGAGGCAGCCAGGGCAGGGCGGATGAGAGGTGGCGGCGGCTGGTTGGGGGCCAGCCGGGGCTGAAGGAAACGGCCCTGCTGGAGTGGGGGTGGCTGGCGAAGCAGGGTAGGGGCCGTGGGCAAGGGTGGCCTCAGCAGTGGGGGCGGCTGGGACAGCGAGGCAGGGGGTGGAGGAGGGGGCGGCGCAGGGGGCCCCGATCGGGGTCCCGACGTGGAGACGGATGTAATCTGGACCTGAGGGGAGACAGAAGGGTGAGAAACCAGGTTCGAGCAGGCCCTCAGCCCAGCCTTTAAGGACGGAGGTGGTTCCTCTCCTCTCTCTTCTGCAGCATTTCTCTCTCCCCTTCTCACCTCATCATCTTCCTCTAGGGCTGGGGCTGGCAAGGGAGCCCCTCTCCTAGCCTCCTCCATGGGGACCGGGGCTCCAGGGGCCCCATCCTGCTCGGCCTCCCACTCCTGCAGCACCTCCTCCAGATTGAAGCGGCGCCGGTAGCTCACAAAGAAGGTCTTCACCTGGGTCAGAGTCTTGTTCCCAATCACCTCTGCAATAGCCCCAAAGTCTTTGCCATACCTACGGATGGCTGCAAGGGTCAAAAGGGCAGCAGAGTGTGAATACCGCCTTAGATCTAGTTACTTCCCTGATCCTTCCCCTCTGCCCCAGCTCCCTGGGGGGAAGGAGACACTCCTGGGGCCCTCTGTTCTCCCCAGAGCCTCACCCACCTTGTACGGCCAAGAGCTGCTCATCTGTGGTCCAGCGGGAGTTGAACTTGGTATTGGCCTGCAGAGCAAGGCATGGATCCTTGAGGCTCAAAAATAGGGGAACAGAGGGCCTGCTCTCCAAACCAAACTCCCCTTTCTCGCTCTGCCGCCAGCCAGAGTCCCTCCTGCCCCCTGAACTTGGAAGAGCAGCCTCACCTCAGGCGGGCGGAGTGGATCAATGCCGCCCTCCAGGGCTTGGCGGAGGCTGCTATTGGTCTGCTTCATGCTTTGCACCTGGGGAGGTAAGTCAAGGGAGGGCCATCAAACTCCACGCCAGGAGGCCATCAATAGCAACCCTCACCCAGCCATCTACCTCATCTCATCACTCACAACCATCCAGTAGGGGAGACCTGGGGTTCGCCCCTTTTCAAAGACCAGCGTTATTTTTTTTTTTTTAATGACCAAAAAAGAACATCAAGCTACCCAGAAGCCCAGAGAATGGGGAAGATGCAGCCTTGGCAACCACACAACATCCCTTACAGCTCAGCTGCCCCCAGTCAAGAGTTCCCAGCTGCTGACTGTCCCCTCTCACAGCTCCTCCTTTCCCAGGGCCCCCTACCTGGCGTTTGAGGGAGATGAGCTGGGAGTCAAGGCCTCGAAGCGTGAGGTTGGCAAGGTCCGGACTCCCCGACACTGCGGTGAGGCCCTCGGGGCTCAGGTACATGCCTTTGGGCGGGCGCCTCCGAGTTCTCAGTGGATGATGGCGGTACTGGGAGCCCTGGGCCTCCTTCTTTCCTGGGCCCGGGCGGGTATTCAGGGGCCGAGAGGGCAGAGGCTGTCAGGGAAAGGAGAGGAGGTGGGCGGTGCAGAGCCCAAGGAGAGGGCGGCCAGCGGGCGGGTCAGCAGAGCTCTGCCCCCTCACCTCTCTCTTGGGGTCTCCAGCGTCCGGCTCTCCCTCACTCACGGCTCCTCGTCCCTCTTCAAGCTCATCGCTGCTTACACGGGGGCCAAGGAGCGGGTGAGGCAAGGGCTAGGGCCTTCAGGACCGCCATTTACCCCCACCCACAGCTTCCCCAGGCCCCCCCCACCTGTCTTCCTTGTCTTTTCGGCCCCCAAGCCGCCGAGCCTGTCTGTCCATCACACTGGTCCGGCTGCGGGTCTTCTTCCAAGAGTAGTAATACTTCACCAGGCTGGGAATCAGCTTGTCAGGCAGCTGGGGGCAGGGGGCAACCCAAAGGCTGGAGCCCACCTAAGACTCCAGACCCCGGGAAGGCTTATCAGAAAGAAGGGGCCAAGGAACGCCGACAGGGGTGGAGGCCTTTACCATCTGCTGGATCCGCTGGAAGCACTTGCCATGGAAGCCAAAGGCCTGTTCAAACAGCACTTTGTCCTCTACTGTCCACTCATCCGGGAATGGGGTGAAGTTGGCCAGGTCAGCCAGCGACTTCTCTACGTCGTGTTTATGCCACAGAAGCATGCCCAGTGCCTGGCCCAGGAGACAGAAGGACTCAGGCTCAGCTGCCCCCAGCACCGTGCTGTCTCCTTCCCGAATCCCTGCAGGGCCGAGGCTCACCTGCTCGATGTTGTAACCGTGCTTCTCCTTGGCCATCGCAATGTACTTGTCAACTGCAGGGGCGGGAGGAGTCAGCTCTTGGAGGAGGGGTTACAACTCCTAACCCAGGCCTGTCCAGACAGGGGTATGCCCCCAGGGACTAGGCCCCTGACCCTGAGCCCCAGGGCAGGGGTTGAACCCACATGTCTCGGCCTCTAGCCCACTTCTGAGAAGAGCCGGCCGGCAGCTGACAGGAGAACCAGGCCCCCAGCTCCCAAGGGTAGGCATGAACCCAGGGTCCCACCCCACTCACGCTTGGCATCTGACACACAGTGGTTGGGGGACCACACCAACATCCCCTTCAGCTCCTTGTTACTGTAGCGTGCGGGGCTCTCTGAAAGGCAAAGGACACCCTCACCCAGGTGGCCCTGGCCTGGACCCATGGCCAGAGGGCAGCAGAGTGAGGCCTGTGAGGTGAGGCCCGAGGGGAAGGAGGGGCAGAGAACCAGACAGGAAGGCCGAGCAGGAACTAACTAACCATGACACAGGGCCGGCCACCCACCCCCGCCTGCCCCACCAGTGGGCGCCAGTCAAGGGCTCCCCAGGTGGGGCCCAGGGCCAAGCCACGGGCCCTCAAGTCCCCTCCCTTCACAGCCTGTCCTGCCACTCACCAGGCTTGCACTCCGGAATTACGGCCTGGTAATTGGTTCCAACGCGGATCATGCTGTCTGTGGAGCCAGGGGAAGGCAGTCAGGACTCCAGGGAGGGAGGGCGGGAGGATGTGGCGGGGGAGGTGGCTGGCCTGGAGTTCTCCTTCCTGACCACCCAGGGCCCCCACCTTTGAGGAGGCTCACTTTTCCCTGACCATCTCCTCAGTTGCCCTCAGTCACAGAAGCAACTAGAAAAGGGAGAGACTTGCCTAGCCATAGCCCTGGGGGGGGGGGGGGGGGAGGGCGGCGTGGGGGGGGATAGGGGCCAGTTTTAAAGCCCAGGCCCAGCAGAGCCCTTTGTTCTGACTTGGTGGGGGGGAGGGGGGGTTGGAGGGCTGCCCCTAGACCTGGACCACAGCCCTGCAGGGAATCCAAGGCTCCTCCCCACCACATGAGCCTCACGGCTTGGTGTGGAGGTGTCTTTCCAGCTCCTGCCCTGGCCAGACCTCAGTCCCCTGCAAGGTGGTAAGCTATGAGGAGCCTAAGCTGTGAAGGGAGGGACGCCTGAGTACGTCAGGGGCTGAGGGCGGGGAGGGGGCAGGCAGGGCCGCCTCCCGGCAGCTAGGGGCCCAGCCTCCAGATTCCCTGTGCCGGCCTGGGGGCAGCAAAGCAGAGGCTCCGATTCAGGGAGGGCAGGAACCATACCCAATAGTACCCCTGGGGTCGGCAACTCTCCCCCGCGCCGCGCCCCCACCCGGCCGGTGCGCCTTTAACCCCAGGCTGCCGGGCTCACCGTGCGAGTGCTCCTCCTCGCTGCTGTCATCCTCCGAGTGCGGCTGTCCGCCGTTGGGCGCCGTCTTGGCCCGGCTGCGGGACAGGATCCCGGAGCCCGCGCTCGGTTTCTCCATCACCGAGGGCATCACCCCCGCCCAGCTGCCCCGGGGGGCGCGGGAGCCTTCGCAGAGCCGCGGTGGTTGCCGCGCTCGCCCGGAGTGCCGTGCCCGGCCCGGCCTGGAGGGGTCGCCACTGAGGCTAGGAGAGGCAGGAGGTCAAGCGTGGCTAGGGTCCCGCGGGGCAGAAGCCCAGCGGGCAGCCCGGCACTCTCCGCGACCCCCAGAGGTGAGGGGCGTCAGAAAAGTTTGTGGAGAAGTGGGGTACGCGGGGTAAGAGCCGCAAGGGCCGGTGCGGCTGCGGCGCGCTCGCTCTGTACGCCCCCACGGAATTGGGGGCTCCCCGGAGAAGTCGGGGCAACCTGCCCTCGGGGCGCCCTGGAGCCCCAATTGCCCGCCTGCCCACGCAGTTCAGCGAGCGAGCGCTGCGGCGCAACTGCCGCCCGCCCCCGCCCCTCCCCGCGAGCTCCGCGTCTCTCGGCTGCACCAGGATGCCCCACTCCCCGGGCGGGGACCCCTGTCCGGACCAGACCCCCGCCTGCGACGGCAGCCGGCGGCGGCGGCGGCGGGACGGCGCGCACGGCGCGCGGCGCTGGGGCAGAGTTGCCGGGAGGCGGGGGAGCGCAGCCGCGGGCGCCGCCTCGCACCCTCGCCGGCGCGCTCGCTCGCTCGCTCTCCCCGGCGCGCTCGGGCTGCTCGCTCGCTCGCCCGCCCGCCCGCTCTCCGCCGCCGCTCGCTCCTCGCGCACACAATGAAGCTGCTGGCAGGGAAGTAGTGCCGGCTGCGGCCTCAGCACCCCTCCCCCAGCCGATGCCTCCGCCAGCTGAACATCTGGCCCTGGGGTGGGAGGCAGGGCCCGGGGGGCGGGGCCTGGGGGCCGGGGCTAGACCTCCGGGGGGTGGGGTCAGGACCCGGGTGGCGCGCGCTTCCCTCTGCCGGCCCCCGGGGCTCGCAGACTTGTCCCCCTGGGGGAGACCCTCTGCCCCCCCCCACCCCCAGGAGTAGCCAGGGGTCAGCCCCACCCACGCGCACACCAGCCCCACACAGCAGCGGGCTCGGGTTACCGCCGCCTGCCCCGGGGGCCCTGAGGCCGCCTGCCCGCCCGCCCGCCCGGGTGGAGCCCAGCTTTTCCTTCCATTTCCCTTCCTGCCAAGGAACTCCCCACCCCCCCTTCCGCAGGGGGGACCCCCCCACACACATACACACTTCATGCGCCCTTGGGGGCCAGAGCGGATGGGAGGCCGGACAGGCGAGGATTGAATTCCTCCAGGAGCTACCGGGCCAAAGAGCCTGGCTTCTGGTGTGCATCTGTGGGTCCCCAGGGGTCACCTCAATTCCCTTTAACGGCTGCAATGCGCACCCCAAAACAGTGGCCCATGGGGTTGCGGGATGGGGCGTGGGAAGTGCAGGGGAAGACCTGGACTGCAAATTGGGGGGCAAGCTGGGGGTCTGTCCTCCCTGCCCCCCCACCCCCGCCCCGAGTTCACTGTCACCCCAGCTGGGAGCAGCAGCCCCCTCCCCCAGGACGAGCACGGGCAGAGTGACAGACCGGGAAGCGGGTAGCGCGGCACAGACGGAGATGGGGGAGGGGGTGGGCAGAGACTTTCAAAGCCAGACCCAGCCACCCTGCCAGGCACACAAAGAGCCAGCACACACACCGGCGGCGGCGGCTCGGAGCCTGCGAGCCGCGTTGGTGCCCGTCCCCGCCGCCCCAGGCACGTGCTGCGGCGCACACAGGCCGAGGCCCCCTCCCGCCCGCGGCCCCTCCCACCCGAACCCCGGACTCCCAGACGCACCTCCGCCCGGGCACACCCCGCTGTGCCCAGGCTGAGCCGAGCCGGCGCTCGCACCCTCCTCTCCCTTCCCTTCCCTTCCTCGGCCACTCTGTAATCAGATTCCTAAATTTAGAAGCAACCCCGGGCCCAGCCAGGGGTCCCCGCCCCCACATGCTGCCTGCCGCCAGCCGGCCGGGGTCCTGCGGTCGGGCCACGACCCGGCCGGGGCCTCCAGGTCCCGGGGGCTCCTGAGGGCGGCCGGGCAGAGTCAGGCCCGACCCCACCCGGCTGCGGTGCTGTCGGGCCACAACTGGGGCCACCCAGCCGGCGGCCACGTTGCCCGCCACACCTCCGGCCAGAGCGCTGGGGCCTTTTTCCTCCTCTTAAATCATGGGTTGGGCACCAAGCCCCAGGGTGGGGAGGTCTGGATAGAGGAGAACGAATAGGCCCAGGGCAGGTCTGAGCTGTGAGGTCGGCTACAAAGGAAAAGAGCCTCCTCAGCCTAAGCCCTCCTGAGTGGCAGGGTGCCACCCCACCCCCAGCACCTCCAATCTTTAGGGAGCCTCTCATCTCTGTCCCCTCCCGCCTGGCAGGCAGCCAGGGCTGCTCACAGCTCTCTCCTATGATGGAGTCTTCCATTTTGCCCACAGCAGCCCCCCCCCATTAGGCAGGGCCTGGGCTGGGTCCCCCAATTCCCCCTGGCCTCTTTTCCATACTCCTAGTCAAGGTCCAGGGCCCAGCATCTCACCTCACCCCCAGACCTCAGCATCATGCTCATTCTGGCCTCCCTCCTCCCAGTCTGCCCCAGGTACCCCCAGCCACCAGCATCCTGCCATCCTTTGCACCCTGCCCCCCATAAAGAGGTAGCTGTGTTCTCGCTTCTCTCTGGAGCCTGGAGCTCAGGGCCAGAGAAGATTCTACTCTGGAGGTGGGGGCAGGGAGAGAAGGTTTATGCCTTGGAGTTGAAGAGGAGCTGGGGAGTCCACAGACCCTGGTGTGTGATGAGGCTTCTGCCTAGGAGGTGGGACACCACATGGGAAGGGTATCCTAGGAATTTGGGGATGACTGTGGGGGCCACTATGTCCAGAGAAGAGATACATTCCTAGTGAGCAAACCTCCCCAAGGGGCATCCCTGCAGGGTTAGGAGGGGGAGGGGCAAGGCCCCACCCTCCCACCTGCTGCAGCCGCCCCCCCTCCCCAGCTGGCCCCCTCTTTTGTGCAAAGCCACACAAAGGACAAGGGGCCCCGGCGGCCTGGCCATCTGCTCCCAGCAGCCAGAAGGCTCTTAAAGAGACAGCACCCCCTCCCTGCCCTGGGGCTGTAGGGTGCGGCAGAGCGGGTGCTCCAACCGAACCTGGTCTCAGCGGTACCCCACATGCCGCCCACTTTTCCCTGGCTCCCCCAGCCCCAGGTGAGGAATCCTCCTCTCCCAGAGCACCGAGGTGCCACGTGGCCTGGAACACAGGGGTGTGGGAGGGGGAGCAAGGAGGCAGCCAGGGACCAGCCCCTCCTCTCCTGCCTTAGGCAGAGGGGCCGGGGGGAGCTCAGCACGGGGGTCCCTCGGCTCCCTGAGGCCACCTCGGAGCTTTGTGAGGGCCGCCGGTCTCCTGGAGCGCCCTCCCGCCAGGGAGCTCCCCTCGTCCTTCCTCAGGGAGGATGCGGGTGCTTGCTTTTTGAGGCCTGCAGGCTGCTGGGCAGGAGCCCAGTGATCTGATCCGGGCACATTTATTTCCTGCGTTTTCCAGTTGAGGAAACTGAGGCTTGCCAGAGCCCCCACAGGGGCCTCCAAGAAACTAAAGCTGCAGGCTGTGTCCGCAGGCGGCCTCCCACTGCCCACCCAGGCCAGATAAGGCTCCTCACCCGTGAGATCTCCAGGGAAGCCGGAGCCTTTGCCCCACTGCTAGGGATACAAGCTTACAATATTTGTGTGATTGTTTATTTCTCCACTGTCTCCCTGCTGAGCCACCAGCGGGGATTAGGTCCCCTGTGTTCGTTGCTGTGTTCTCGGCGCCTGGTACATAGTAGGCACTCAATATTTGCTGAATAAGTGCCAGAAGCCCCCAAATCCTTCCTCTTCACTTTCCTCTGTCCTCTGCGTGTTAGGCATCTCACCCCCTCCCTGCTCCTCGAGTTGAGGCAGAGGGGACAAAGGTCGAAGCGGGGATGCTGGGAGAGAAAAGGAGGGTGACCTTGAACAAGCCATCAGCCTCCCCTCTCCCTCCTCCCAAAGGCGGGGGCGGCTCCAGCCAATCCTGAACCCGTAGCCCTGCCAGACAGGCTGGGACTGTCCTGAGCTCTGGCCAGGCCAGCCTGGCCGCTGCGGCGTGGTGCCTGGGACCCTGGCCAGGCCCTCGGTGGCCACAGCCAAGGGGCTCAGCTTGGGGAGGGTGGCAGGCGGGCGGGCCCTTGGGTAGGGGAGGGAGGGTGGCAAGATCTCAGGAAAAACCTGGCTGAGCAGCTGGGAAAGTTGGACAGGAGGCCGGGGGAGATGAAGCTGGGGAAATGGAGAAGGTGGGCTAAAGCGCTAAAGGAGCGTGGGGGGGCCGGGGGGCCTCCCTTCGGGGGCCCCATCCCCTCAACCTGCCCAGACAGGACCTTGGCTCCTCCCTCCCTCCCAGGGCCCCCCCGCCCACCCCCCGTCAGGCCCACTGGCAGGCTGTGTGGCCCAGGTACTGCCCTCCTGCTCTCTGGGTCCTGGTAGTAACCCCCTGAATGGGCCCACACTCCCACCCGGGATTGTGAAGAGACTGCGAGGTGACAGGTGACGATCCGGTGCTTGGCATCACCTCGGGCACTGTGGCCACGTGAGGAGGGCAGGGAAAGGAGACCAGGCCCGCGCATCTGTGAGCGGCTCACTGAAGCAGGAGCAGGCCCGGAGGTCAGCAAGGAGAGACCCCAGGCTTCCTGACACCCACGCCGAGGAAATCTGACTCCCCTGGAGCAGAGCAGGAACGAGGGTGGAAGGTCAGAGAGACCTGAGCAGAGAGACAAGGCGACGGGGCCTCCCTGGACCCACGAGGGGGCAGCTTCCAGACGTGGAAGCCAACTCTGTTCCTCTGGAAGCCAGGAAAGGAACCTCCTCCCCTCGCACTCACCTGGGCCACAGCTGGCGCCCTCTGGCGGTGACAGCGTGGACCAAGGGGGCCCACCTCAGCCAGGCCACAAATGTCTTCCCAGGGAGTCTGAACACGGGCCCCCTGAGACGCTCACTCTCCGGGGGACAGTGCATGGGGCTAAGATCCTCCAGGGTCGACT